TGTTTATACAGTCTTCAAATTTTCACCAGGGAAAAGAAGCTTTACATTTCTGTTATATTTGATTTAATCCCACGCACCGGCTCGCCGATGAAGTGGAATGGTTAGGTTGTTTTGTAAAAATTGCTGTCCCTTGTTACGTCGCGTTTCTGTCTTTGGACGGGAATGTGCATATTCGTAGTTCGCAAAACGGAGAGTAAAACACTATCTACTTTAACATCTGACTTCCATTGCAGAGAGGCCGTAGTCTGTGTAATGCCTGACAAAGGCACAACTCGACAACATTTCTATGCATCAGTTCGAATCTGCACGTCGCTTGCAACCAACTAGTGACTCACGCTCACTCTGATCACTGTAAGTTCTTCTGCGACAATGCTGACAGAGCACAAGGTCAGCATGACCTGGCATTGTGAATAAAGCCAGATCTTTAAAGTGGAATGTTTCGGTTGAAACTCCAGACCACTGAGGCACGATGTGCGATGGAGATATCTTGCGCGATAATCACATCAACCTGATAGAACAAACACTGTGCCAAATTGGGTGGCCTTAAATTTGCATGCATTCGGAGTTAAAAAAACCCAGTCAGTCTAGGGTGCAGATTGTTTCGACAACAGAGGCTGGAGAAACGGACGTTGACGCTCGGGGTTTCTTAACCATTTGTTGTTGAGCACTCACCAATCGCTAACGGAAAGCACTTGCGTCATTCTGTTCACTCCCAAGCTCCGCCGGCAGCCGCGCAACAGCCGCAGCGACAAAGCAGGCTGGTATGAGCGTTTCTGGCTTATTAAGCATCGTCAGTCAGACATGACCAGCCCCAGATGGTGCACTACCCGAGGCTCGAGTTCGCGGCCTTTCGATCAGAGGTGCAACGCTCTAATCATTGAGCCACGAGTGTGTTGTCTTGGTGGTTTGAAATTCGCTGATAAAAGCAAACCAATTGCTAACGGGACTTACTCAACCCACTCTGATTTGGGGCTTATTTTCAAGACCCGCAGTTTGGGCAGTGGTGCACCACTTTGAGTTCAGAATGACTAGATGATGAAGAGATCGATCGATGAGCACCCTACTACCAGAATATTTCCGATTGCAACCGACAAAGCAATGAATCCGTGGTTCAATGGTAGAGTGTTGCACTGCAGGACCAAAGGTTCCACTTTCGAATCCCGGATGACATCGGGTATGACCGGCTGATGACGACTTATAAGCTAGAAAAGTCCATTCCGCTTTCCCCTATCTTTTTCGGTTCCACCCCATCATACACGAGAAGTCGCTATGACAGTGCTTGCTAATGCTCTAGAACAAGCTTTCAGGTACAAGGGACGATTGTGTTCCCTATGTAGGCTATAGAGAGAGTTGCACTATTATTCCCTGATGATATCTAAGCGACCAGAAATGTACATTTCATTGGACCTAGCCTCTGCCAGGCACATTTGATGGCTATGCAGTATTGAGCTCTATGCCATTGTGTCAGTAGGACACTAACGTAGAACTCCACACTTTAAAAGAGAAATTTCATTTCAACTCTGCAGTTGGAATAAACAAGTGGTCGTAGAAGATGCAACCGGCTGTGGGAACGTTCCCGTTCCATTGCAGTTTCCGGTAAAGTAGACAGAGTTGGCATTAAGGAGGATGAGGTAATGCTTTACTGACTCACCCATGCATATTCCTGACGCGGAAAACAGGTCCCACACTGGAGTTTTGAGTGCAGTAATTGAAGAACTGGTCGATGAGTACGACTTTACAGTAGCGCCAACGTCGACCACGATGCCAGCCATGTCGATGTGGTGCATGCGTCATCTGACCGTTCTCAACGTCGGCAACCGTGGAGACCGTCTCCTGACTGCCGGCTTTATTGCGTCTCTTGGACCGTCCCCCCTCCTCACCCTCCGCCTCCTCCTCCTCCTCCACCAGCTTCTGCGGTTTCAGCACCACTAGATAGGAGTCCTTCAGTACCAGCCACCTGGAAGGGAATAAAAACAGACACACTGAATAGTTATGACAATTTTGGTTGAGAGAGGGTGACAATATGGCCCAACACATTTGTCAACGCATTCTCAGCACTGAAGCAGGAGTGCGCGCAAACATTTAGAGACGGGTTTTGAGGGCTTTTAGATGACGGCCAACGTAACGGTATTTGCATCCACTGCAACCCACGTCAATGGATATTCTGTCTACCTCTGAGCGAGAGAAAGGATAAAAAACCGCGATCGAGTTTGACTAGTTCGCCCTAGGCAGACCCCTTTCTGCTTACGTCTCCGATGAAGGATCCGCGAAGGATCTCAAAGCAGGCTAATAAAAGTCTGCTTTTAAATTTCGAAAATTCCCATTGAAAATTTTAGAAGCTAAATAGGTAAATACAAGTTTATTTTCGATAAATTCTCGTGAGGCCTTTACATTTATATGGTAATTAAATAAATAAACTATGCTGGTTGGCGAACAGATGTAGTATTATTGTTGTCAGG